CTTTTTTTGTCCCATATAATAAATATTCGCCCTCTTTCTTTCTGTCCGGTAGACTAAATATTCTGTTCTATGTTGACAGAAAAGCTAATTCCATCATAGGAACATCCTATGACATTTGTCCCAACTTCATGCAGTCCCTTCCTATTTTCTGTCAATCACCTTTAATAGTGGGATTATTTTTTGTTTATAATTAAAATTTATATAAGAAGGTAGGAATTATAATAAGCTTCATTTTATTGTCTGCAACATTCTCTTGGGGTGAGTACTTTAATTGTAATCTTTATTCTATAATTCTGACAGCATTCTCAATATTCAGATCCTTACTTCTTTCGAAACCACTTTACTTGATTATGATTCTTAATATGTTCTTAATTATATGCATGTAGGACTTAACATAACAGATAAGTTAACAGATTTTAACTAAGTAATAATAATTAAGTATATTTTATGTTATCCTTGCCATACGCAATTTGTTTAATTGTAATTTTGTAAAATGGCAAGGAAATTAAACCCTTTTTGATGTGTCTCTAATGCAAGCTATCTCTGATATTTTAGTGTATTGGCGGCTTTATTGACGAATTTATTGACCATACTCTTCAAGACTTTATTGGCCATATTTTTCAAGACTTTATTGACCATATCCAAGTATTTATTGACCATTGGAGGACCTAACATCTAATTGGTAGACCATACAAGCAGTCCATTGAGGTCATCGATGCCATAAGTATCCTCACTAATTAATTGTTAAGCATTGGCAGGGTGGATTATTGATTTTTTTTCTTTAATAAATATGATTGGTTAAAATTTGTTTTATTTGCTATCAGCTAAGGGTTAAGGTTCAATCCCTAGTTTAAGACAAGACGAACTCAAACTTGAGATACTGAGCTAGGCAAGGCATAGACGATAAGCTCCCACGGTTGATTGAGGTATTATTTTTACAATAGTAAAATATAATCAGTAAGACTGAATGTGCTAATAAACAAAGCAAAATCAACTGTACGTCTTTAAGGATTTATCATCATTATATCCTTCATATACCTTTTAGAACATGTATAAGATTTTTACGTGAAATTAATGATTTTTTCATAGATAAACTGGAATACTAGGCTTATTTCCAAGTATATCTTCCGCCATCTCACTACACTATTACTTTTTTTAGATTACTGCTAATAGATTTTCTTATTTGTTATTTTTAATACTGCCCTTTATATTGTTTTCTATTTATTTAAATGATTTATAGTTGTTAAAATTTATCCAACATCTTACATCAATACAATGTTGTTTATCTTAGTTTTGTTTCAGACCTCGTTTTACTAAAATATAACTCGAAAGTGTATTTCGAAATATCGAACGTAAGTAAGTCCAGCACCTAAACATGACCTGTGAGAATATTTCGTATTTATCTCACCTATGTATGGCTGGTTGTGCTGTCATGTTAAGATCATGAGAACTTTCCAGCTGCAGCCAAAGAGCGTGATCGTGCTCTCGCGCCCGACTGACATTTTACGTCTCTTCGACGACCCCTTTTTCGCCCCCTTTGCATCCCAGTACCCCAAGCCAGATATATAGGTGATGCATGCCGCAACAAACACAGAGACGTAACTAACTATACATATATATATATATATATATATATATATATATATATATATATATATATATATATATACAGAGTGAGTTTTATGTATGGAACGTCTTAATTATTTTGGAAACAGTTTGAAATGCGGCCGATATTATGGTGGTATTTACATTGTTGTCAGATCTTTCGATTTTCTGGAACTCTAATGAGCTTTTGTATTTCAAATGGAACATCCATTACTTAAAAAATTTGGATCGTTTTGATTGTAATATTTTTTTATTACTATGTCTGCAAACTGTTAAACTAATCTTATTTTGTATCAATGGAATTTATTTTCACGTATTATTTTTATTATCGAGGTTTGCGAAATCTCAATCATCATCATTCTGACTTTACAACCCTACGTGGGCCTAGCCTCCTCAAGAATTTCTCTCCAGTCGTCCCTATCTATCGCCTTCCTGCGACAAGCACGTATTCCCACATTTCCCATGTCTTCATCGATGTTATCTAGGAACCTTGTTCTGGGTATTCCTCTTCTTCTCTGACCAATGGTTCTATCCCAACAAGGGATAGAACAAGGTACAACGTTAAAATGTCGAAAAGAATGAAGAAGTTGAAAGGACCTTAAAAGAAAGAAAAATGCAATATCTCATACATAATAATTCTTGTAGAAAAATACGACATATTCTGGTTCATAATTTAAGGCAACATAGAGGATACAAGTAATGTAAAAAAAGTCGAATATCTTGATTGAAAAACCAAAGTTTTTCTAAAGACGATGTCTAAATGAGTTCTGAGGGTCAACAGCAACCCCTAGTGGGAGTCTTACGTTGCCATGTAGGTTATTTAAGAAATATTCAAACAGCACAACATAATTTTCAATAAAATGTAAGAAATATTAAATTTTGTACCATCTAAAATGTTTTTACCCAGGTATTTAGTGGCTTAACTCATGTGCACCGAGTAACAAAACATTGATGATGGGCTTTTTAGTCTGAAAACGTTCTCTGTGTAACCTAAAAAAAGTTTTAAAATAAATACCTTTTAGAAAGCATTTTAAATAAACTTTTGTGATTGTTGGTATACAGCCAACTACACAAATTTCATTTTTCTTGAGAATTGTACAGTTATTAGTGACTACTTTGAAAAAGTTCGACAAATTTTGTATGATAAAGGCTATGCAGGGAAACCTGCTTAAATTTAGATGGACGAAAAAGAATGCCAGCTTACACCGCATCACCAACAACCTGTATTGGCTAGTAAAGGTGCTAAAAGGGTGCATATCGTCGGACCAGAGCACTGCTATAGTGTAACAATTGTGGCATGTGGCAACAGTATTCCGCCACTTATAGGTATGAAATGGCAAAGAATTATGTCAGAATTGTATTATAATCTTCCAGTAAAAACAAAAATTAAAATGACAGCAGAAGCATTTATAGAGTAGTTAGATCACTTCTGCCGATTCAAAAATCCTGGACCATCTCTTTTATTTTTTTATGGAGCTTCATATAATTTCGAATATATTCGAATTGTAGAAGCTGCAATGAAAAAGATGTAACTTCGTTTTGTCTACAGTCCAACACCACCTATTAGCTTCAACCACTTGATAAAGCAGTCTTCAGGAGTCTACTGGGATGATAAAGTGTTAATTTTTTGGGTGAAACCTAATACTGGTGCGGTGTGGAAAAATGTAATAACGCCAAAAAAATATTTGTTCTGAATTTAAAAAAACTGGGATATAGAAATTCAATCCAGATTTTATGGATTCTACCTTTGCCCCTAGGTGTCTGACATAACAAGACATTGAAACAATCGCCAAAGATTTTCAAGAAAATTCTCTAACCTAACTAGAAATTGAACCAGCTGGTAAAAAGACTGCAAAAAAAGGAGACAGAGACATTTGACGGACTAAGTGCAAGCTTTATTTCCAGTGGTTTTTAAATGACACCAGGATTAAAATTCACAAGGAAAAATTCCTGTAGCTGGCTGTATACCACGTATAACAAAAAGAGGTTATTCTTTGTTTTTACCCTAATATTTTGGTGGCTCAGGCATTATGACCTAGCATTTTCGATTTTAATAACCTGATGATGGACTGTGTAGTCCGAAAACGTTTGTTTTATTGATGTGGCCCTTTTAAGGGTTTTTTAAATAAATATACCCATTTACAAAGATTAACCTCTTTTTGATTAAAATTATCAACAAAAAAACGTCGACAGACCGTTAATGTGAAAGCACAAAAAGTTACCAGAGATTTATTTATTGCAAAATTTTATAGCTTAGCAAAACCAAAGCCAAATTTAAAAAAAGAGTCCTAGTACATGTACAGGTGTGTTCGTTGTAATCGATATATCTAGGAGGAATGTATAGGATTAACAAAAGACGACAAGGACATATTTATATGTCCTCGATGTGTATAAATGTGTGATATATACGATGATGATGTGCTTAATATATTGACAAATTTCTAATTTTAATATCAATATAAGTTTATTTCACTAAACTTCATATTTGTTCCTTAATTCTTCGGTTTAAAATTTATTATTAACGTCTATTTTTGTGTAAATTGAAATTGGCCTTATGGCGTCTCTCAGTAACTATATTCATTGATTATAAACCACTACCTAGTGGTTTATAATCAATGCTATATTATAATAAAGGTATGATATATTATTTATTAACATAGTATGTACATTAGCTTAGCTGTTATTATTATTATATTAATCATGTTTCACTAATTGACATATTTAAATTCTTTAACAAAACTTATGTTGATGGAGACTGGCTGAATGACAATTGTCCAAGCCAGGGAAAAAAATTGGCCTTATTAAAATACCAGTTTTAAATAAGGCCAAATACCTATTCAAGATTTATTTATCACAATTTAGTCACAAGTTTATATTTATTTATTTATTAATTATTTTATCCTTAATTTCGGTAGGTAATATACTTATATCTTAGGCAATGTGTATACAAGACTTTTTCCGGCATATTATTGCTGAATAAAATATTACAGACATTTATACTTTAACGTGGCCTTATTTGTGTGTATTTATCGTGTACTATTTTAATTAATTAGCTAGGTAATTTACATACTTTCTATTTGGTATCCTTCTCCTACTTCCTTACTTCTAATCAGAAGTTCAGTATTTTTTAGAAAAGTTATTACAAAAGTTAGATTGGCCATGATGATTGCCAGCTTCCTGAGGGGAAATGGTATTTGAAGCAGAAAAAGTACTGTTGTCAGAAGAATCTTCTATTATAAAACTAGGCTACTAACTACTAAAAAAACATAATAGAGTACCTAGACCTTCTTATTTTCTAAATCAGTTATTCCAATTTATGATTTCACACCAGAGTTTTTCTTTCTATTATCGATTAAGGAATTATTTTTAAAAAAGTTTTTCATACAATTTTCAATAGTTTTCTATCAAAAACTTTAAAGACAATAAGGCAGCTGGATTAGATGAAATATCAGTAGAACTGTTAAAACTAGTGGAAGAGGATAACTTGGAAGTATTGGCAGATTTATTCAACACGGGGTGTACGATACGGGAATAATACCACAAGAGTGACTGAAGTCAGCATCTATAACGATCCCTAAAAAACAAGCAGCAAAAGAGTGCTCTGATTATTATCGAACACTGAGCCTCATGAGTCAAGTAATACGTAAGAGAATATACGAAAGGCTAGAGGAGGATATTAGCGAGACGCAGTTAGGGTTCCGAAATGGAATGGGTACTCGAGAAGGACTATTTGCCATCAACCTATTGATTCAGCGATGTCGGGATGTAAATGTTGATCTACACTTGTGCTTCGTTGACTACGAAAAAGCTTTCGATAAAGTAAGACATGAAAAACTAATATCAATAATTATGAACAAGCGCATTGAGAGTAAAATCATAAATATAGTGCAAACATTATATCGGAACCAAAGTGCCATAATTCAAATTCATGGTTAATACTCAGAAGAAATGAGGATCTGTAGAGGAGTTAGACAGGGATGTGTTTTATCGCCACTTTTGTTTACTTATATTCTGAAGAAATTTTCCAAAACAGGCTCAATAATATAGAAGCGGGAGTCACCGTTAACGGAAAATTAATTAACAACGTAAATATGCAGACGACACTATGATCATAGCAACGAGTATAGAGTATCTACAACATCTTATCGAAAGCTTGAGTATGAATAGTGCTGAGATGGAAATTACTATAAACACTAAAAAAACGAAGTACATGCTAATTACAAAAAGACCACAAAATATACATCACCTATTGACAATCAATGGTAACGTGATAGAACAAGTAGAAAAATATCAGTACTTGGGAACTTTGATCAATGAAACCAATGATCATACTGTAGAAATAAACAGGCGAATAGAGATTGCCAGATCAACATTAATACGAACGAAGCCACTCCTAATGTACAAAAATCTAAATTTAGAGATCATACTACGTACCATTCGCTGTTATGTATTTTCAATATTATTATATGGAGCTGAGACTTGGACATTAAAAAAATGTAATTTAAAAAGAATCGAGGCCTTCGATCTCTGGTTATACCGCAGAGTATTGAAAATATCATGGACTGATAGAATTATAAATAAAGAAGTACTGGACAGGGTTGGTAAAGAAACAGAACTAATCACCACTATACAAACCAGAAAACTGGAATACCTAGTCCACGTGATGAAGGAACCAAAATATGAAATTTTGAGACTCATAATACAGGGAAAGGTGCAAGGAAGAAGATCTGTTGACCGAAGGCAGAACTCATAGACACTCAGCAGCAAGTTCTAAAATAAAAATAGCCGTTATGATTGCCAACCTCCGTAGGGAGACGGCACTCTAAGAAAAATACAATTTTGATGTAACTGGTTGTAGTAATATTGATCTTATAATTATTTAAATAAACTAAATTGAAAAACAAATAATTACTGTATTATTGAATTCCTTTAGTAGATTTTATACTTATGTTATCTTTATTTACGATATCATTAAATAGGGAACTATAATCTATATATAATACTTATATGTATCTAATATATTGTTATATAGTACCTATAGCTTTTAATCGTTACCATAATTCTTAACATTCTCATTTTAAATCCACGAATCCTACAGCTCCACGAAAACAAATTACTCATAAAAATAGTTCATTATCATGATATAAAATCACAGGTTTCGGCAATACCTATCGATAACAGCAACGAATCGGAATGTCTATGGGCAGTATAATACTAGAAAAGATTAAACCGCCTTCTTTAGAATTTGCTAATTAGGACGTTAGTGTAGTACAGTGGGTGGATCAATTATACAAATATGAATTTAAGGTACCACCCAAATTCTCGATTTCTTCAATTAGTAGGGGTATATTTTGTCAAATTGACTTTTAAGCCTTCTGAAGTAGATAAATTCTTTATTTATCTTGACTTTTTAATTTTAATATATAAACCGAATGAAAATCAAGTGAAATTTATTCTTTTAATTTTTTTATTTAGAGGAAATTCCGATAAAATCGTCCCATTAGGTTGTTTATTTAGCGTATGGTATTTCACAGTTAAGATTTCTATAAATAATACATTACAAAGAGTAAATAATAATAATTAATTTTTAGAGACATTTAGTTGACGAATATACTGAATTGACTCTTTGGTCGCAACTAAGAACTTTGGACGGATTGCCACTGTAGGATCTGATTGAGCATTCCTCCATTATATGTTTAACGGTTTGCCTTTCAGCAGGACAATCGAAGTTTGGAGAGGGTGTTTTGTCCCACCTAAGCACACAGTGGACAGGAATAAAGAAAGCGGAGCAACTATTTAGAATAGCTCGAGACAGAGACAGTTTCGCCATGTTAATCGCCAACGTCAAGTGGACTTGATAGGGCACGTTACGAAGAAGAAGCACACAGTTTAGAGCACCTGCCGCAGTTTGTTCTGATTCTGGTCAATGAGGCCAAGATTCGTCTTGGTTGGTCGAAACCCTCTGGCTTGCTTGTGAAACATGAGTGTCAGATTCTGCATTCTTCTCGAAATCTTCTTGCCAACTTGTTTTTGTGAAGTTTGTTCAGAACACTCATGAGTTCCGAATAGAAAGTTTCGATCTCTTTCAATCACAACATTTAAAAATATATTGGTCAGTTGGCGCCAAACTCTTGTGGGAAGTGTTTGTTGTTGTACGTGTTAAGAAACAGGTAAGCTACAGAATGCTATAAGTCCTGATTAAAATATGGAATAACAGTTTAATTATGTTTTATATGTTGAGAAATAGTTTATTTTGATTATTTGTTTGCCAAAAACTGTTTTTCTATAGCTTTTTGTAGTATTTTGAGGATGCCGATAATAGGTACGTAAATTTTAGCAGATGATCCAATCGTCGGCTGGAGTGCCGATAATTGGTTCTATGCATTGGACTTTATATAAGCTGATTTTAGCGTAATCTTTTAACTTACTACGACAAATGTTTGGTCATTATATGTAATAAAAAACGATGTTTCCTTGTACCAATTTTCGGCATCCAGTATCTCTAGTACAAATAGCAATAACTTGACCGAGCATAACACTGCCAATAATACATACCTATACGTGCCGATAATTGGAAATTCTTTGTTTTAGACTACAATTCAGAAATTAGCAATGGAAAAGAAAAAGCGAATTCATTATTCTGCGGAAGATATAAACAAAGCTGTTGTAGCTGTTCAGTCAGGAATTCCATTTAAAACAGCAAGCAAATTGTATAAGGTACCCAGATCGATTCTACAGGACAAAGTACAGGGTAGAACTTCTTTAGAGAAGAAATCTGGACCTGGGACCACACTAACACAAGAAGAAGAAAACCTACTGGTAGCATGGCCATTTCGGATTGCATCCTGTAGATTTCCTGCAACTAAAACGCAGTTGTTGGATAGTGTTCAGCTATTGCTTAAAGAACTTAATAGGCCTAATAATTTCGTGGATGATACGGATGTATCATAACGGATGTTACGGAATTGATTGACTGTACAAATTTATTTCTCCCGGTAGGCGTCGCTGAAGATATGCTCCTATCATAATTTCTAATCCATTCTCCTCCTTCACAAACTTTGAATAAAAGAATTTCTAATCGCAGGACAAAGACTAAATTGAAAAATGTCACGAAGGATCTATTTTCCACACAGGAAATGCAAGGAAATAAAAGCATGTTAATTAGCGAACCTTCAACATCTAAATCTTTACAGGAATCTTGGTATTGTTCATTGTGTGACACTGACGATCAGCTGGACATGCGCCTTTGTGGTTCTTGCTTGAAAAACTATCATGAGGCTTGTCTTGGTCTAACTGAAGATGACAGAGAAGAACTGAAATGCCCCTTGTGTCAATGACTACTAAAATAATGTGTGTTTATTAATTCAGTTTACTTAATAGATAGATACATTAAAAGATTTTATATTTATCTTTTGAAAAATACACTAATTTATTTGAATTTTCAATTTAGTGTATTTACATACCTACAATAATTTATTTACTTCAATAGTATCTACCTATCTAACTAAATATTTAGGTACCCTATATAATTATTCAAATCTTAGGTATCTAACTCATGCCGAAAAAAGGATCTTTGATGTGCCGAAGATTAGAGCATGCATTTAATTTAGAATGCCGATAATGGGGACTTTGGACACTTTTCATTTTATTAATATTTCAAATATTATAAAATTATTTTAGAATAAAATAAATATTTTATGTGTAATTGTGATAGATTTTATTAGCCCCAACCATAATCTAAATACACGTTGTTCAGGTAATTTGGTTACTAAACTAATTAAAATGAAAATGAAACTCCATTGTGCTTAACGTGCTGATAATAGGTACATTTACCTTATATATATATATATATATATATATATATATATATATATATATATATATATATATATGCAGTTCAGCGCATTTCACCTACACCCATTACATTGATAGCAAGTCTATCCATTTCCTTAATGGCATTGCGCGTCTTGCCCTCCTCGTACATTGTTCTCACATTCCACGTAGCGATCGTAATTGTTGATCTGTGGTGTTTTAAAGAACATGGATTTCTCTGGTTGACGACCTGGGGAGCCCCGTTATCCTTGTTATATCTCCCTCTGCCGGACCTTGGTATCCGAGAACCATGGTCAGTAAACTGTGACGTATCAATACTAATACTTGCCATGTTAAGGGACTAGGGATATTTAATGAGGTAGTTTCCCCTTGCTTTCCTCATCGCAGTGTAGGAGCCATTCATGCCTCCTAGTGTCCAATGATGAGCCAGTCCAGGATCCACAACTTGGTACTGAAAACGCTGCTTCCATCTCCAGGAAGGGGGATTAGGCTATGCTTATTTAATGGCGGCAATACTCGCCATGTCACAATACTTTCCTTGGATTATTGTAGCATTTTATAAGATATGCTTTCCTAAGGCATGCCCATTACACCCTCCAGTATCGCCGCTGCTTGGTCGGGAATTGCTTATTCAGTATATTCGCAACTAACCTTCATATTTGAAGGTCAGTTATGACTAAAAAATGAAAATGTTACAATATTATATATTATATCAACGGTATTTATCTTGCAGGGACTAATGCCTGGATGCACCAACATATCTTAAGCTTAAGACGTGCCTTAGGTAGGCCTCAGCTCAGACTGATCGACCGACCACGACCAAACCGTCAGACGGTGATCAACCAAATTTTGTATTTTTATTTTTAAGAATATAAAGAATATTTTAGAATCGAAAATTATGGTGCAACGTAAGTGAGAGTTAAGGCAGCCCTAGCTATAAGCAGAGCTGGGCTAAGCTGGAGCTTAAGATCTATTGGTGCAATCAGGCATAAAATAATTATAAATATCGTAACAACAAAGCCAAAATTATTGCCCTCAATAACTGAATTCGCCCCCTGCACTGTCTGTCGTATGCATGGTCTATCTAGATCGTCAAGGTCTGTAGTTTAAATCTTTTAATACTCATTTCTATGAATTTATTTCAGTTTTGTCTTATTTTTACATTAATTTTGAATCAACCACTATCGATCCCTTTATCATTCTGTATAAAGTTAAAGAGTTAATAAGAAGTGAAGCAGAACCGGTGTTGATTTCCAATAAAAAGTTGCCTAATATAAAAAGGGGTGAGTAAATGCAAAGTTTTCTGAAGACTTTGCCGTAGCAAAAATTTTTAAGAGTCAATTAAAAACATTTTCCAAGAAATGTAAGAGTTCGTCAGTTCTCTCGCTGAGTTACTAATCCCTAAAACGGAGGGTAGTGCGAAAAGGGTTGCCTCTCTTGTTCGCTCTCTGACGGGGACCCAGTTTACAATAGGATTTGTTCACTTTACCGCTTTCGTCTTTTAACTTCACCTCAGAAAACAGTTTGTGCTTAGAATTTTCCACATGAAATTTAATATTTTATGGGAAATTCACGCAATGGATTTTATGTTTTTATGTAAGTATGAATAATATTCAGAATTTATTAATGTTTTTAAGAAATGGGTCAAGCATAATTTTCTACTGATGTTTTAGGATTCCTTTAACCTTTCAAAATTTTGTATTCACTCTAAATTCCTAAATAATAAGTATTCCTTTCTTTATCACAGAACCATGATATATCCACTAACTTTTTTCACTTTCTTCACTTCTCCACTTTTTTCTTGTTATTCTTTTTTACTCTTTTTATGGTTATCACTTGTTATTATATAAATAAAAACTTATTAATTAATAAATTATATTAAAATATTCTAACGTTGTTAGGAGAATTAAATATTTACATCTTAACGGAATTCGCAGTTCCAATAAATATTCCATATTCCATATTCCATATAAAAAAAAAACTGTTACAAAACACCAGGCAGATTAGAAAT